ACAATTATTTTGTCTACATTTCACAGAAATGTAGTTTTATAAAAAAAATCCTGTGACCCTTTTTTTACTAATATATAGGGGAAGACCATTGATTTTTTTAAAAAAATTTAAAAGGGATGTACTGCTTTAAAAAAAATAAAAAAACCTTAGTGGAACGAGCTTATATAATTTGGAGATAATTAATAACTAATACCACTATATTAAAGGAGTTTTTTGAAATCGTAGGGTTCCATCACCCCCTCTTGTCTCGAATCAATTAAGGTCATGTTTGTTTGGACGGATATGATCTTAGGATTGAACTAATAATCTAACAAAATGTATAATTCGATGTTTGATTAAGAAAATTAGAGTCCGGATTAATAGTTTATTTGGACATAGTATCCCCTATATGGAGAACTATTGAATCACAAGAGAAAGATAGGATACAAAATAAAGGATTAAGGAGATATCGGACTAATTAGTTAAATTGTGAAATTGATAAGATATTGTCAATCCCTCCTCATAATCCTAAGTCAATCCAAACATGGGATATGATGTACAATCCAAAGGGATTGATAATCCTAAGACTAACAATTCTAGGTATGCTAATCTTATTCAATCTAATCCGCTCAAACAAATATGACCTATGTGAGCTCAACCAACCCAATTTTGGCCCGTAGGCTCACTACAGACCCTATTTTGATAATCTAATTAGATGATATTTTTATGTCTTATTGTACAGATTATTCACACAAAAAAAAAATAAAATCAGATTGATATGATAATTGTAGCTCATAATTTAATCATACTTGCATTCAAAAAAATAAATGACAAGCTCAACCATAATTTTAACTACAAATTGGTATAACACATCACAAATATTCGTAATTTTTATCACAAAAAAACATAATTTTCTTACAATGTATCATTTTTAGAGATGACACAACATAAATTTCTTCAATATTGATATATAAAAAAAATGTTATTATTTAAAATTTTGAGTGTTGTTATCCTTTAGCATTTAATAAATATTTCTCTTAGTTTGATAAAGAGTATTAATGTTTTTTCTATTTTAATTTTACATTTATTTTTTATTTTTTATTTTTTATTTTTTATTTTTTATTTTTTATTTTTTATTTTTTATTTTTTATAAAGAGGCCTGCTCTTAAAATTTGTTGAGTGTTATACACTCCCCCTTAGTTTAGACAAAAAATGTAACTATTATAATTTAGTCTAAAATTACAAGAGTGTTGTTTGGCTATTTTTAAACCATAAGGTGTAAAATGCTCCAACCTTAAAGCACTAAGATATAAAATGACTTTTGTTATAAAAAATTTGGTCCTTGAACAATGAATGAAAACTCTACCATACACTGTATATTCATCGTAATATAATGTAGAAATGACTTATTCTTCTCTCCCTTAGGCCTTGTTTGTTTTAGTCTGAAAGTGATGAAATTGGACTAACAATTTGGTGGACCTCATATTCTCCAATAGAGATAAACTTATTCACGAAATTAATTGTACTCCACTGAAACCTATTGGAAAATTATAAAATTGCGTTTAGATTATAAATTTATATAGTAATTTGAAAAAAGAAATGGAAACGGTGAAGCAAATATAAGCTAAATTTGCCTCATCCTTTTTCCTTTTTCAAATCCCTCCTCAAATTCATAATCCAAACACAATGTAAAAAAATTATTTATAGTACAGCTGTGAATAAGTTTATCTCTTTGTGATAATATCATAGGACTACAAATCTCCTCTAAGGGGTATTAGCAATTTCATGAGGGGTTGTGTTTCACAATCCAATCCCTTGAGATTGAGATTGGACGTAAAAATATCATTATATCTCCACTTTACAAAAATAATAAAATTAATTTTTATATATTAAGGATTTTACATAAATTTATAGATTAAATGGCAACCAACAAATATTACCATACTCCTATACAAACAAATACAATTTATTTTTATATTTTAATGGCACTAATAATCCCCTCATTCAATCTTATCGTACTAATAACCCATCCAATCCGACCAACAAACTTTGTTACGTTAGGGGAGGTGTTTCAGTGGCTCTTTCTCTAACAGAATAAGAAGTACCAACTTTTCTTTGCTTTCAAACATACAACAATAAATTCAGTATCATATATATACACCATTTCATGGTGCTGGATTCATCAGAAAATCATGGCAAATTGGCTTATTATTTTCTTCACCTCCATTGTGTGGTGGTGTTGCTTTGGCAACACCCCTGCCACTTGCTTGCAAAATGAGACAGATAGATCAGCCTTGATTGCTTTCAAGGCTGCCATTGATCAAGACCCATTTGGGGCATTGAGTAGTGACATTTGAAAGTGCCACAAAACTATTGGTTTAATGACATTTTTTAGTCTTGTGACATTTTGAACAAGTGCCATTTGTATCCGTGCCACGGTAGATACTTGCAAGTGTCACTACACCATCATGGCTAAAAACTTTCATTGACATTTTGATGTCATGGTAGATATTATTTGTGGCACTATCAAGCGCCATTAAAAAAAGAGTTAGTGACACTATCAACCTTTCAGTGACACTTTAATGTCATGGTAGGCACTATTCGTGACACTATCAAGTGCCATTCGTGACGATAATTCGTTGTAGAACAATTTGATCCGCTCTTGCGGAGACTCGAACCACCAACCTCCCGCACCATAAACCTTATACACCATACTCTTCCTACTACACCTCTATAGCATCACATGATTATATATGCAACATATATTATTTATATAGTACATACATCCATATTAATATAAAAGTATATGTATAAACATAATTATTTTATTGAACATAATTTATGTAAAATAAACTATTTACTAGCAAAATAAAAAAGACCACTTTTGGCGACTATTTTTAGTCGCCAATTCTATACTGTTGGCTACTAATTGTTTTTTAGTTGCTAAAAAACTTAACTTTTGTCGACCAAAATCGGATTTAGTCGCCGAAGATGCACTTTCAGCTACCAAAATTTTGGTCGCCAAAAAATTTAATTCCCGCCTTAGGATTTTAGCTCTCCCGCGCTAAAAATGACCACTTTTGGTGACTAAACTTATTTTTTAGTCGCCAATTGTAGACTTTTAGCTACTAAAATTTTTTTAGTCACCAAAAAGCTTTATTTTGGCTACTAAAATATTTTTAGTCGGTAAAACCCATATAATCAACGACCAAACTTATTTTTTGTCGCCAATTGTAGACTTTTGGCTTCTAAAATTCTTTGGTCGCCAAAAAGCTTTACTTTTGGCTACTAATGTTGTTTTGGTCGCTGAAAGTAGCTTTCAGCGACCAAATTTTTTTGGTCCGGAAATTTAGTCGCTGAATGTGCTTTTTCCTGTAGTGTATATTGAGTTTAATTTATTTATTTTTAATCATTTACTGCATTTTTAAAATTTAGAAAATATATTGGCATTTTTTGTTTTTTCAAAAATACCATTATAAGCTTGGAAAGTTTTTGGCTTAGTGGCATTTTTCAAAATGCTATAAAATATTTGTTTATGACACTTTTTACCTAAGTGCCATAAAAAGTAATTTGCACCTACCTAGTGTCCTGACATTTTAAAAAAAAATGCCATTGCTACTAAAGCTTAGTGGCATCGGTTGGTAAATGTCACGAACATAATTTTTTGTGTCATTATTTTATAAAATACCATAAAATTGATGTGACATTTCTTTATTGAAATGCCACTAGAGCCTTATATGTTTGTGGTTCTGTGACATTTTTCTAAAACATTTAATGCCAATTTTTATTTTTGTGGCATTTTCTAAAAACACACCACTAGTGTAGTGTCACTAAAGTGTAAATTTGTTGTAGTGACATTTTTGTTGTAGTGAAGTGACACTTTTTTTAATTGAAATGCCACTAGAGCCTTGTATGTTTATGGCTCTATGACATTTTTCTAAAAAATGCCACCAAATATTCTTTTTGTGACATTTTTTAAGAACATGTCACTAGTATGGTGTCACTAAAATGTGTTTTTGTTGTAATGTGCCATTGATCAAGACCCATTTGGGGCATTGAGAACCTGGAATGATTCAGTGCACTACTGCGATTGGAATGGCATCTTGTGTAGTCATTGACATCCCAATAGAGTCGTGAAGTTGGGACTAAGGTCGCAAGGCTTGGTGGGATCACTCTCACCTCATATTGGAAACCTCTCCTTCCTCAAAAACCTCATTTTTCAAAACAATAGCTTCCATGGCCCAATCCCACAAGAGATTGGTCGCTTGTTTCGACTTCGAAACATTTCACTCAGCAACAATTCATTTCATGGTGAAGTACCCACCAACTTTTCCCAATGCTCAAATCTTGAAATCCTTAACTTGATCGACAACAACCTAACGGGAAACATCCCGGCCGAGTTAGGATCTTTGTGGAAGCTTACACTTTTAGGCTTAAGTATTAACAAGATTGCAGGAACCATCCCTCCTTTTCTTGGCAATCTTTCCTCTCTTACCCAACTTTCCTTAGGATGATGTACTTTGCATGGAGAGATTCCAAAGGAAATTGCCCAACTTCAAGGCTTGATATTGTTTTCTATCTCTGAAAACAATATAGCTGGCGAGGTTCCTTCAAGCATTTACAACATCTCCACTCTGTCTTCGTTTGAAATTTTTTATAACCAACTTCGTGGAAGCATACCTCCTGATATAGGCTTAACCCTACCCAATCTCAAGCTTCTTTTTCTTGCTGAAAATAAGTTCACAGGACCACTTCCTATTTCATTGTCAAATGCTTCCAAACTTCAACAAATAGGCTTTGATTATAACAACTTTGTGGGGCCAATGCCAAGAGATCTGGAAAGACTTTTAAGTCTACGAAGGTTTGGCGTTGGTGGAAATTTGTTGCAGGATGACCTCAGTTTTATTTCATCACTAATGAATTGCACGACTATACAAGGGTTTAGCGTTCGCGGCAATTTTCTCAGAGGTCCGGTGCCCGAGTCCATAGCTAATCTCTCTTCCGAGGTTAGCATAATTAGAATGGAGGACAATGAAATATATGGAAGCCTACCATCAGGTATTGGAAACCTCCTCAATCTCGGTAACATTGATATGGCAATGAATTATCTTAGTGGCCCTATTCCTACCACCATTGGGAAACTTCATAATTTGCATGGACTTTACTTAGGCGTAAACTATTTCACACAACTACCATCTTCAATAGGTAACTTAACTTTGCTAAATGATCTCTACTTGGTGCAAAACAAAATCCATGGAAGCAAACCTTCGAGTCTCGGCAACTGTAAGAGCTTGTTGAATTTAAATCTTGCTCATAATAATTTCCATGGCTCAATACCCCTTGCAATTATGGGTCTCTCTTCCATTTCAATTTCCTTCGACTTATCTTACAATGCGTTGATTGGTTCTCTTCCATTAGAAGTTGGGTCTTTGAAAAATCTTGCAACATTAGATGTGTCCAATAATAGATTATTAGGATCTATTCCGAACTCTCTAGGCAATTGTTTGAGTTTGGAATGGCTACATTTGGAAGGTAATTCATTTGAAGGCAAGATACCTCAAAGTTTGAGAGAGTTAAGGGGTTTACAAGAGTTGGACCTTTCACGCAACAATTTATCGGGGTTGATCCCAAGTTATCTAAGTGATCTTTTAACAAGCTACATGGGCGAGTTCCAATGGAAGGAATTTTTCAAAATGAAAGTGCTATTTTGGTGGTTGGTAATAATGATCTATGTGGAGGCATTCCATACTTCGTCTTCCTCTCTGCCCATCCTCAAAGTCCAACAAGAATAAGCTCTCTCACAAGATGAAAGTGATACTCACTGTTGTGGTTGTTCTTATGTTATGTTCAATTTTGTTGGTTTGCTTATTCATGTTCCTTCATTGGCAACGTGTTTCAAGAAAGAAGGCCTTTTCGGTGCCATCACTCAAGCACCATCTGTTACGGGTTTCTTATGCAAAACTTTTGAAAGCTACTGATGGATTCTCAAAGGACAAGCTAATTGGTGTTGGGAACTATGGTTCTGTTTATAAAGGAATTCTTGATCAAGTTCAGACAATAGTGGCAATAAAAGTACTCAATCTCCAACTCAGAGGAGCTTCTAAAAGTTTTATGTCAGAATGCAAAGTACTAAGAATCACAAGACATAGAAATCTCTTGAAAATTTTGAGCGCTTGTTCTAGTGTGGATTTCCAAGGTAATGAATTTAAGGCTTTGGTATATGAGTTTATGGCCAATGAAAGCTTAGAGAAATGGTTGCATCATGATGGAATCGAAAATAATAGACAAGAAGAAGAATCCAGAAATCTAAAGTTGATTCAAAGGCTAAACATTGCCATAGATGTTGCTTCTGCAATTGAGTATCTTCACTGTCATTGTGACTCAACAATTATTCATGGTGATCTAAAGCCAAGTAATGTTCTTTTGGATGATGAGATGATCGCTCATGTTGGAGACTTTGGGTTAGCCAAAATTATCTCCACTATTTCAGATGAGGTGGTACAACATCAGAGCAATTCAACTACAGTAAGGGGCACTATAGGCTATGTTGCTCCAGGTATGGGTTCTTTATAATCCCTATAATCATGCAACCATAAACGCACGAGAAGAAATTAACATTACCCTTCCTACATACGCTTACTATAAAGACGTACATTTCTTTTGATATCCTATTTTAAGAGCTCTTTGACACACATGCCAATGAGTGCCCCCTGATATGTTGTATAGCTTTGTCATTATAGCCATTCTTGGGTGTGTTCTTGTCTGGCTTGAATGGATTGTCGAACTAGAATTGCTTTTGAACTGTATTTTTGTTAGTTAGTAGTTACCATCAAAATGCCTTGGATTATGACCAAATCAACTTTGAGTTCAATCTAAATGCTGCCATTTTGATCTCATGGAAATTTAATTGTGCTTGATGTCATTAGCCAAACTGAACTTGTCCATAAACCAGACTTATTTTCCTATTTATTTATTTATCTAGTTAGGATTCTAGTGTGTAATTTTAAGCACATCGAGACCCACCGCTTTTGCCAATGTGAAGAATCCAACATTTATATCTTATAGCATTTATTAGTTGTAACATATTCCAAAAGCTTACTAAGATTGTCTGAATTCTAGAAACGATGTAATAAAGAATTATTTTTACTGGTTAGATTCATATAAGTTATATGGAATATTTGGAAAAAGATGAAAATCATGGAACAAACAATCAATTCCTAAGGGAATTAGGATGACTTGGTGTATTGTTTAGTCAGAGAGATATATTGTTGGGTCGACATTGGTATATATATCTTCAAAATGCTGGTAATAAGCTAGAAAAATAAATTCTCACATGTATAAAATGGGTGGGTGGGGACTGTAGGTCTTACCTACCCCCCTTCCCTCACAAAAAGGGGAAAAAATTGAAATATTGTGTTTTCGTTTTTTTATTCAAAAAAAAATTGAAATATTGTTGATTCATCTTCTTGTAACCTTGTTATATTGGCATTTGCCTGTATATCCCAAGACTAAGTCGATCCAACTTGAACAACCTTTTTTCTAAGTACAACTGCCAGTAAAGCACACTAGTTTTTCTAGGCCGTCTAATGTCTGACAAAAAATATTCAAATCATTCATTGAATTTGCAGAGACAATGATGGAAACTCTTTGTAAGCCATTACAAATTCTCTCTAACTCCATCATTTTTGGAAACTTACAAATTTGATTACGAAAGAAATATCCATGCTTGACTCATTTTGTTTGATTCAATCAAAAGACAATTTATTTTTTTCAGTATAACATATTACATTCAGTTTTGATTTCATATTCTGGGTTCCCAATCTCACACATGTACAAACACAAAAAATTGAAAAATTGTTATTGACATATGTGAAAAGGCAACATTATGCCCTCAACAAGATTGTTTCTTCCAACTACAGTTGGCTTATATTTTAAAAATTATTTTACTATTACAACTATGTGAATTAATCAGACTCTTAATTTGCGAACTGTTGGGTACTAACACTTAAATCAATTTGCAGAGTATGCCATGCGCAACAGGGCTTCCACAATAGCCGATGTGTATAGCTATGGGATTATTCTCTTGGAGATGTTTACAGGTAAAAGACCAACTGATAACGTATTTAAGGATGATCTACCTCTTCATATCTTGGTTGAGAGTGCTTTGCCCGACCAAGTGCTAGAGATTGTGGATCCCTACATTCTTTCAGAACACGGGCCAAGAAGTTGGCTTAAAGACAATCTGGTTTCTATCTTGAGAATTGGAGTTGCATGTTCAATGGAATCACCAAGGGATCGAATGCAGATTCAAGATGTAGTTAACGCATTATGCAAGATAAAAAAAGTTTGTGAAAATTATGGGTTGAGACAAGACTAGGAAAATCTTATCAAACATGAAATCCAAAGGTGTGTCTCCCAACAACTCTCTTCCATATATGTGTGCATGACAAAATAGATTTTACCCTATCCGAAAATTTAAGTTCGATTTCTCATAATTTTCTTTTGGGTTTCAATTTGTTTGTGTAGGAAATACAAGCAAATAAAATCATGCTTATGACTGCCCTATTTTCTCTGAGGATGCTTAGGGGCTACAATCTATATGTTGGTGTGATCCTTACGTTGTCTTCATCAGCTGTGCGTTCAATAAATAACTTCGACTTTACTTCTCATGTGGAGTTGTAAAATTTGTTGATGTGGGATCGTTTAGAGTAAGTGTATACGTCTGTAACTTTTCCTTTTCTTATCTTGTTTATGATCTTTCGGGTGTAATGTTAGCACTTCACTAAATTACTTGTCATCATTTCATTAGTATATTTCTAAGTTTCATTTGTGGTTCTTGAAATTCAAATAAGCTAGAGATAAAGCTTCTCTGCTTGTCCGATTTTAGTGTAGTTTTTGTTTCTTTTGTGATAGTGGTTGTGTTTGGGGTTTTCATGGTTATAAGTGCAAAAGGTGTTGGCACCTCATATCACCCTTCTAGAGCGATATATTATCCGGAGAAAGATTACAGAACTCTCTCACAAACACTCTCACACTTTGTTCTCTCTGTGTTGCTGCTTACTTTCTCTCCTCTCAGCCTCTCCATTTATACACATAGATGGTAGGTGAGGAGAGCCAGCTTGTTCTTCTCCTTTCGGTGGTCGTTGCAAATCCATCCACCTTTGCGGCTTGCCAACTGAAAAGCCGTATTCCTTGACAAGCTATGCTTTCACATGGAGGATGGTCTTCTTATGAGTTGGAGACTAACAATTCTCCCCCTCCACGCCCATAAGGATAACTGACTTCTCATTTGAAGTCCATCCCAGTCAGATTCTTGCAAACTTCCAGTTTGTCTCTGGTGACACCCTTGGTCATCATGTGAGAAGGATTCTTGTCTGTGTGAATCTTCACTAGCTTCATCAGCTGCTTTTCCATCACTTCTCGTATCCAATGATACCGGACATCAATGTGTTTTGTACGTGAATGGTACATGGAATTCTTGCTAAATCAATTGCACTTTGACTATCACAATGTACCTTGTATTCTTCTTGCTGTAGACCCAATTCTTGGAGAAATCGCTTTAACCACAACATTTCCTTTCCAGTATCTGCGGCAGCAATGTACTCTACCTCTGTTGTAGATAAAGCAACACACTTTTGTAGTTTGGACTGCCAAGAAACAACTCCCCTTGCAAAGGTGAATAGAAATCCTGATGTAGACTTTCTACCATCAAGATCACCTGCCATATCAACACCTGTAAAACCCTCCAAAATTGGTTCAGCTTTCCTGAAACATAAACACATCCTTGAAGTTCCCTTTAAGTACTGAAAAATCCATTTGACCGCCTCCCAATGCTCCTTTCCTGGATTGGTGAGGAATCTACTCACAACGCCAACTGCGTGAGCTATATCTGGCCGGGTACACACCATTGCATACATCAAACTTCCTACTGCGGAAGAGTAAGGGATTGTCTCCATTTCTTTCCTTGTAGAGCTGGTCGTGGGACACGAACGCTTTGACACATTGAAATGGTTGGCCAGTGGTGTGCTGGCTGGCTTGGCATCTTTCATATTGAACCTTTCAATTACTCGTTCAACACATTTCTCCTGTGACAGCCATATCTTCTTGGCTTTCCTGTCACGAACAATCTTCATGCCCAAAATTTGCTGTGCTGGGCCTAAATTCTTCATGTCAAAATACTGCGACAAGTCCTTTTTCAACTTGTTGATCATAGTAGTATCATGTCCGATGATCAGCATATCATCAACATACAACAGTAGGATAATGAAGTTTCCATCCGAAAACCTTTGGAAATATACACACTGGTCTGCCACTGTTCTTGTGTACTCGTGATCCATCAGAAATGAATCAAACTTCTTGTACCATTGTCTCGGCGCCTATTTCAGGCCGTAGAGACTCTTCTTTAGTTTGCAGACTAGATTTCATTTTCCTTTAACTTCAAATCCTTCTGGTTGCTCCATGTAGATCTCTTCCTCTAACTCACCATAGAGAAAGGCAGTCTTGACATCCATTTGTTCTACTTCCAGATTCAAACGAGCTGCTAATCCCAAAGCTACTCGAATAGAAGTCATCTTCACAACTGGGGAGAAGATCTCATCAAAATCAATTCCTTTCTTCTGTCCAAAGCCTTTGACCACCAAACGAGCTTTATGCTGCAATAGTTTACCGTTTCCATCTTTCTTTAACTTATACACCCATTTGTTTTTCAAGGCTCTCCTGTCTCTTGGAAGTGGAATAAGCTCATAAGTGTGGTTCTTTTGTAAAGAACTTATCTCCTCCTTCATGGCTTGCATCCAACAGTCTTTCTCTGTATGACTCTTGGCTTCCGAAAAACTCTTGGGCTCCCCCTCATCAGTAATCAGAATATACTTAGAAGCGGGATATTTGGTTGATGGCATGGCAGCTCTTCCAGATTTCCGCAACTGAAGTCCAGTTGCCTCTGTTTGAGGGGGTTGCTCCCCCTACTCAACACCCTCTTCATCCGGGTCTTCATCTCTTTCCTCCTGATCCTCAATTTCTGGCATAGGATCCTGCAACTCTGGCATTTCTTGTTGCACATCATCACATCTAGCATTTTGTGATGGCTTGGGAGATGGAAACAAGTCTGGAGTGATGACATCTCTAGACTTTACAGATTTCTCAAAATCTGCTACTGTCTGGTCTTCTTGGAACACAACATCTCTGCTCCTGAACTTCTTCTTGTTCACTGGGTCCCACACCTTGTACCCAAATGCTGCATCTGAATAGCCCACAAATATGCATGGAGTGGACTTGTCATCAAGCTTCTGTCTGTTTTCCTTGGAGATGTGTGCAAATGCCTTACACCCGAAGACTCTTAAGTGAGAATATGATACCTTTCTTCTGGACCAGACTTCCTCAGGTATCGCAAAATTCAACGGGACTGAAGGCGACCTGTTGATGAGGTAACAGGCTGTACGGGCGGCTTCAGCCCAGAATGACTTTGGCAACTTTGCCATTTTGAGCATACATCTGACTCTTTCCATAATAGTGCGGTTCATCTTTTCTGCCACACCATTGTGTTGTGAGGTGCCGGGAACTGTTGTCTCGTGCCA